CCTCCTCCTCCTCCTCCTCCTTTTCTCATTTTGGTACAACTTTCCTACATGTTGCTTTTTATATTTTACTCTTGTCATCATCAGACTTTGTTCTATTCTTATTTTTGCTGTCGCTTTGATTGACATTCCCTCATTCATAGAACACATTGACTTTCAATGCAAACATCTTCTGTCGACGGCTGCTTTGAAGAACAACCGGCAAACTAGTGAAGGAATTGGCGGCCGTACTCAAAAGCACGCACAAACTGTGCATGTTCATTATACAAGAACAACTGTTAATAATAGCCATTATCGATTGATTGCTTTGCAGCACACAAAATGACATAATCATTAGCTGAGCTCAGTGGTTGTACAAATTATTAATTGACTAATTGCCGGGTAGCACACGCCGCTGACATTGTGAAAAATGCCGTTCAGAGCTGTTGTAAAACTGCAGCAACAGGCTGCCAGTGATGACTGTCAAAACTGACAACAGTTTCAAGTTGGAAGGTCCATTACACATGCTCAACACTGGTGACCGGTAGTTTTTACTAAAGAAAAAATTATTGATTTATCACACCAAAAGCCTTTGTTTTATTTTGTCAATTGCCGTCTACTAGGTGCGACATAATTTTTGAAATACTGATTTTCTNATTGACTAATTGCCGGGTAGCACACGCCGCTGACATTGTGAAAAATGCCGCTCAGAGCTGTTGTAAAACTACAGCAACAGGCTGCCAGTGATGACTGTCAAAACTGACAACAGTTTCAAGTTGGAAGGTCCATCACACATGCTCAACACTGGTGATCGGTAGTTTCTACTAAAGAAAAAATTATTGATTTATCACACCAAAAGCCTTTGTTTTATTTTGTCAATTGCCGTCTACTAGGTGCGACATAATTTTTGAAATACTGATTTTCTAAAAAAAATGTTTGCAAAAGTAAATGTAAAGAACACTTTTATATTGCCACTAGATTGTCATCTATCGGCAAAGGCGTGTACAAACTTAGTGAAAAGCAACGCAACTATTGGCAGTCTTGATCTTGTTTTCATTGACATAAAAAACGAATGAATCATTGAAAAACCTTGTGACAGCCATAAGATTAATTTTGCTTTTATACTGAACAAACAATTATATTTTTTTTAATAGATTTATGCATTTAAAAGCAAAAGAATTTAATATTGAGATAACAGTACTAGATTTTAAAAAGCAAACTTTGCATAGATGCTTATTGATGTCAATGAAAACAGTCAACTGTTATTACAAATATTGTCCAAGTTAGTGATTGTACAAAGTTCATCATTTTTCAATGCTACTGGCAGTTGCTTTCAGTGAATTATCTACTGACCAACTGACAAAATGCGAGGTTCATTGCTTAAAGGAGAAAGGAGAAGAAGCTTTGGATGCCAAGATCACCGTGTTTAAGCAGCATTGCGGCCGGCGCTGGATGCCTCGTACACACACGCACGCCGGTGAATGTGGCTGTCATTAGCATGCCAATGTCAACCGTAATTCAGCGCCACTGGCTATTTATGTCACTGGCATCTGACTTTCTCTTTGTGTCATTATTTAATTTGCAGAATAATCATTAATGGCAATCGAAGGCAGTTTGGCAGCGGCACGCAGAGTGTGTGCAGACAACGGAAGGCTCAACACTGGCGTCAGAATTGTGGACAGGCCACTTCAAGCAGGCTCGGTGCTGGCTCATTGTTTGTACAGTCGGCGTCTGTGCTTGGAGCAAGTTGTAGCTGCAGCATTTACATAATTTGAAAGGTGATTCAGCTGTTGCTGTTGATCACTGCCGTAGTGTGACCGCACGCATATCCGTGTCTAAATATACGTTCACAGTAGCCAGCCAGCAAGCCAGCCATCCATTGAGGCAGTCAGGCAGTGCTGTACGGACAGATCATTGTCCGTGTGCCTTTGTGGCACGAGCACCATTGTTGGGGCAGTGATAATGACACGCTGACACACTCTTACAAGTATACTCCTGCTTACTCTTGCCAGTGCCGTTGAACGTGAACAGCGCTAGCNCGCTGACACACTCTTACAAGTATACTCCTGCTTACTCTTGCCAGTGCCGTTGAACGTGAACAGCGCCAGCGCCAGCAAAGGGCAGCCAGCTACCGGGCAGAAGGCTAACAAGTGTCTCTTGTGCGAGTCAGTGCCGATGACATCGAAGGTGTGCAGAACAGCCGCGCCAGTGCCAAGAAACTTGAAGAGGAAGGCGCACAGTGAGAAGCAGACTTCTTGGAAGGTCGCTCTGAATGCTCCGTCGACCTCTCTCTCCCTCTCAAGCCTCCTTCTGCTGTTCTCATCGTTCCCCTTTTACTTTCATATTAATATCGCTCTCATTGACGCTAAATGCCACTTAGATCAGTCCGTCCCAAGGATGGCAATCTAGGAAGTGAGCCTGCTGTACTGAGCGGCGTATGTTCTACTGTACNCCTTTTACTTTCATATTAATATCGCTCTCATTGACGCTAAATGCCACTTAGATCAGTCCGTCCCAAGGATGACAATCTAGGAAGTGAGCCTGCTGTACTGAGCGGCGTATGTTCTACTGTAGAAAGCGCACACTACACCACTTGCACGTACTTGACTCGTCAGCTTTCCTTGGCCAAGTCCACCACTTCTTCATTAGTGTAATTTGCCGCTTCATCTTTGTCATCATCCCCACGCTGATGATGCTTCCACATTTTCCTATAACAATAGCAGTACAGCATTTTTTGCACAAGCACCCTTGTCCACTGTGCGGTGCACTTTAGTGGCTGTAATAGTAAAAAATATTTAAAAATACATACACAAATAATAGTGTATTTTTTATTTTTTTTTATAAAAATCGATAAAACAGTGTGCGCTAAAACACTGTTTGGGTAAATGACATAAATAAATCGATTGACGAGCTGACAAGGCCAATAAAAACCAAGTTTTGGCGGAGTAGCACACCTGAAAAGTCACTGACAGCTTGCAAGGGTTTGGCTGTTTAACGAAAGTGCTACAAGTCAATCTGGCGATGGTAACGCATTGATAAAGGAGTAAATTGATTCCATTAATGATGAAAACAAATTTTTTCCAGTCAATCGGGTCCTAAAAATTAAATGCTCAAAAAATTGTTTGACAGACACAAACGCAGTATTGTTGACGCTAGTGTTACCTTTGCTTTATGCTGTACCTGTTTTGTACAGTTGTATCACTGTGATGACGCATTAATTAATTGTCATGGCAATAGCACTAATTGATATCATGAGTCACAGAGTGACCAGAGTGAATGCACTTTTTTTTCAACGAGTCTAACTATCCGTCTTTGAGAAGAAACTGATCAATCNGTATCACTGTGATGACGCATTAATTAATTGTCATGGCAATAGCACTAATTGATATCATGAGTCACAGAGTGACCAGAGTGAATGCACTTTTTTTCAATGTGTCTAACTATCCGTCTTTGAGAAGAAACTGATCAATTGAATGGGAGTGTACGCTTGAATTTATTTAAAAAAGTTCGTGATACAAAACACTTGTGTTCAGTTTTTGTGTTTTAATTATTTTTAATTTAGAGTATTATCTTGATGACTATAAAATACTTAGCTATTTATTAAATAATATACTAACAAGAAATATTGCAAATGACTAAACAAAATGGGAATTATATCTCACATTTATATTTTCCCGCGCCTAAACGGTGAAAATAGTACCTATTTCTATTTTGACTATTCTCCGATTGCAGTTGCTGTGAGCCAGCTGCCAATGTTTGTCAAAACAATTTTTTTTTCTGAAAAAGGTAAATGAGAGTTATCTATTATTCGATCTCTTGCCAGACTTGGTGCTAATCCTGCTGTTTTGATGCCGTAAGTTGAGTCTTTTTAATAGCACAAGTTTTTAACAAATTGCCGTTTTTTGTTCATTTTTCCAGTAAGTCAAAACTAGGCAAACCCTAGTTATCATTACCCACAAAAATGGATTTAGAGCAAAATGGGATTCAACGCCATCACAATCACAATCATATGGTTGGCACGCCGGTTAACCGGCGGACGGGCATTGCCAAGTGCATCTGCAATTGCCTGTCTCTGTCTCGGTTCCTACCTTTTGTGATGATCTGTGCCTTGTTCACTTGGGGCATTTACGTCTACCTGTACTATGTCATCTTTCAAGGCTACGAGTCAATTCTACTCAGAATCATTCTTATTCTGTTCTTCCTACCTTTGTACATTCTCTCTGCCTGGTCATACGTCCGAACTGTTTTTACCGAAAATCGGCCTATAACAGAGGAGTACTCACTCTATAACTTGCCTGTTTCTGTGGACTTTGAAAATACTGCCGATGATGTGATCAATCAAGCCCTTGAAAGTGTGATCACTATTCGTAACTTGCCGATTTATACACGTTCATTTGGCGGGTTTGTTCGTTACTGCCGCAAGTGCATGATCATCAAACCCGACCGCTGTCATCACTGTTCAACATGCGGAGCTTGCATTCGCCGGATGGACCATCACTGTAAGTTATTTTTGTTCACTTTACCACCTAGTAGTTGTACTTAACTTGCGGTTTATGCGTAATTTTACTTACAGGTCATTGGGTCAGCAATTGCGTGGCTTTTGATAATTACAAGTTCTTCCTGCAATTTCTTGCTTACACTGTTGCCTTGGCTTTATACACTTCAGGCTCTTCGCTTCCTCAGTTTATCAAGTTCTGGAAGGATGAAGAATTTCCAGGCCGTTTTCAGGTTTTCTTCTTGGTCGTCTTCTGTTCTGTCTTTTCGCTTAGCATACTCTTTCTGCTCAGCTACCACATTTACCTTGTTCTAAAGAACATGACCACCCTTGAGGCGTATCAGCCTCCGCGTTTTAAGAATAGTGAGCAGGATCAGTACCGTTTTAGCCTTGGTGCCTCTCGAAATCTCCGCTACGTCTTTGGTGATAACTGGCTTTTATGGTTTATTCCCGTCAAAACAAGCTATGGCGACGGACAGAGTTTTGATCTTCGCTTGAACCCAGCTCAATTCGACAAGTCAAACTCTTACAATTACCCTCCGAGCAATCAGATCGGAGAGTCTTCTCCGATGACGACAAGTCAGCAGCAAGTCTAACGTCGTGTAGTCACAAGTCATAAAGAAACGACACATCCGGCCACCGCTTCTTTCCCTCCGTGTCTCGCCATCTGTGTTTTACTTTACTTTTTTACTAACTGAGCAAGCATTGTAAACATTTAATTTTTTCGTTTTTATAATTGCATGAACATAACCTCACTCCATACCTGCCTTTTTATCTTTTTCACTATATTATTCTTCAGTTTTTGTATAGAGTCTTATTCACCTTATTCCATTATGGCATTGAACTCCGAACGACTTTGAAAATGAGTAACATTAAACTTAAACTTGGTGCTTCCACTAATCAGCCACACTACCGAATTTGTGTCGATATTTTTACTTTTAGTTAACTTTTACAATTTCAATAAACTAGAAAGCCATTTTTGATGGTAAATTTTGTCGTAAGGTAGCGCTACAACTGTAATTTGAATTTTTATCAAATTAATTATTTTTACAAAAGTTGATACTCTTGGTTTTCCTTTTTGGCAGACACACTACTTGAAAAATATGAGCACAACTAACATTCAGTATAATTTTTTGGTAACGTACAGATGTTTACAAATTGTCTAGGACAGTCATACACATCGTTGACTGGTCATTAATAAAAACTTTTCCATACTGGTAATACTGATGGCAATAGCTGGGTAAATGGGTGTCAGCGAGAAGAGGCTGTTTGCTCTGACATCCACACAATGTGGCGGTGCTCTGAGTCACTAGGATACAGATTAAAAGTGGCAAGTGAGAAAGAACTAGAAGTACCTGTACCGTGGACCAAACTGATACTGAGATGACATATTGCACAGCCTATTGTGGCGAGAGCATGCAATGGAGCAATGTAGGTGCGCCTACTTTAGTAGGAGTATGACAACTGCTTAGTCCTGGTGCCAGGGAAATCGGTGCTGCTGATACTGTCGAGACGGTAAGTTTAGTAGGAAAATAGTTACCAGCAGTTCCCACAGCTGCAAAGCAAATAGTTTCTAGAGCTAGTGTAGAAGTACTCTTACTCNATTAAAAGTGGCAAGTGAGAAAGAACTAGAAGTACCTGTACCGTGGACCACACTGATACTGAGATGACATATTGCACAGTCTATTGTGGCGAGAGCATGCAATGGAGCAATGTAGATGCGCCTACTTTAGTAGGAGTATGACAACTGGGCAGTCTCTGCCTGCTTAGTCCTGGTGCCAGGGAAATCGGTGCTGTTGATACTGTCGACGGTAAGTTTAGTAGGAAAATAGTTACCAGCAGTTCCCACAGCTGCAAAGCAAATAGTTTCTAGAGCTAGTGCAGAAGTACTCTTACTGGCGTACAGGGTGATTTGTACATGCATTTACAACTCGCAATTTCTTAATAAGAAACTGATTGAAATGAAAATAAACTGTTTTGTGCTCAACAAGTGCTTGTTTTGCTAAAATATCTAGTGTAAGACAATTTATCAGCAAATGCTTTCTTGAAACATTCAAAGTAGCTCGAAACAGCCGAGCACACCTCGTACGACAAAACGCCTTCATTTGAATGGGCACTGGTCTGATAACATTTGAGCCTGGCTGGTGTCGTGCCCCTCTCTCTCCTATCAGAAAGTGCGCACTGGTCGGCCAGCGGTGGTGACACCGACGGCACCCACCCGCCGTCATTGCTCCCTGCGATGACTCCCCACCAGAGGATAAGGTTTCCATGGCCGACCAGAAAGGGGTTTGCAGTGGAAGGCGACACTGTTCCGGCAAAGAATGCCGACTGATGTGCATGTTCAGGAGAAATCGATGAACCTTGCCGAGATTAGATGCAGTCAGATTTGAGCACCATGGAAACCGATGCCTGCTTACTCAACCGATGTGACATAACGTGCCTGTACTTCTTCTTTTTGAATGCCCACTGTCACCAGCATTGCCAGCGTGCACCAGGTTTTGGCGGCAAAAAGGCCGGTTGTCGGAGTTGTCGGCGACGCCGGGTCTATGAGTGTATACACGTGTACAATGCTACTCGTCAAATGGTCTCAAGTGGCAGCCAACTACTGTCGGCGACACTGAAGCTGCTGGTAGAGGCAACACCGACCGTTGCCATTTCATCAAACACAACTGCCAAGTGGCACTTCACTAGAAGCCTGTGGCGCCAGTGAGTGCTTTAGGAGCAGCGCCGATTGACTTTCCCATAGCAGGATCCACCAGGAGTGACTCTTTTTTGCGTTTCTGCGCAGCGTCAGACAATGGCAGTGATAGTGTATCGAATGCAGATAGCTGTAGAGACCAATCGATTGATCCGATTGCGCTGTATAGACTGCAACCTGATGACGCTTCCGTCCATCTTCAACCGAGCAACCTAGTGGCACATCTCCAGCAAATGATTAGTGCACAAGGTTCCTTGCGTGCTATTGTTTGCGTCAACTCGTTTTGACGCACCTTGGCTCAGATATACCGTTGATAGAAAACGACTGGTAAAATGATCGATTGATTACAAAAGTGTAACTCCTTTTTTGCGTCGCAGAGATGTTATTCTATCTGTGATAAACAACTAAAAATTGTTGAACACGTTGATAGGAAGTAGTGGTAATTTCCGTATGTTGATTGAGTAACAGTTGGTTTGATGACAAAATTTCACAACACTCATTACAAAAAACCGTTTGTAGTGGTAGCTCATTCAAAAATCCTATTGAGAAAGTATTGAGCAATAGTAGGTGTTAGGTAATTGTTCAAAAACTCAATATTCAGTTGCAAATCAAAATGAAACTAACAAAATATGATGATTGCATGCAAATCGGGAAAAGNTGAGAAAGTATTGAGCAATAGTAGGTGTTAGGTAATTGTTCAAAAACTCAATATTCAGTTGCAAGTCAAAATGAAACTAACAAAATATGATGATTGCATGCAAATTGGGAAGATTGTCATTAAGTTGCTAAAAGAAAAAATCATACTAATCGACAATGGAATCACCGTAGTTTGTTGCTTTTCTTTTGAAATCTAAATGAGACAAACTATACTCATTTGATGCTAGCACGACAATGGCTACTAGACAGCACAAGCTGACAATAGCAATTACAACTACCATTTAGACAATGTTCTGAGAAGATATATTTAGAATTGAGGTTTCAAATAGGATTCGTGGCCTCTACATGAATGTCACCACTTGCCACGAGTGGCTAGAGATACGTGTCAGTTGATAGCTCAAACTAACTCTATGTGTCCGGTTCGTGCTTCAATGCCTGCCTTAGCTAATCTAATCAAGGCACTACTATGGGCCAAGCATTCTACGAGGTTGATAGTCGGCCTCGTAAATCATTCAATTGGCCTCACAGCGAGCGACTAGACGCCTCATTCGCCTATTCGGTGGGCTCTGTCAGATTAGCACACTGGCAGTGAGCATCGGCAGACTGGGAGAGCAGTACATGTACACTGCTCAGACACAGAGCAGACAGTGGTGAGCAGTGGTAGACGAGGATTGCATGCCATGGACAACTGTTGAAGTAGCGAGGCAGATTAGCTTGCATGCAAGCTGGGGCGTTTTTGCTTGCACACCGCTTTGTCAGCTTCCCAGCAGAGTGGAGGCAACGGCGTCGCAGTGGCGGGTGCTTCGCCGATTGCCACAGAAACGACCAACCACCACCTTCACAGCTACCGTCTCCCAGTTGGTCGAGAGACGGGCGTCCGACGACTGCCGCTGTTGCCGCTGCCTGGCGCCATCGCCTTCTCCGCACTTCTACTGCCCTGGCCACTTCTGCCCCCCCCCCCGACTAGCAATGATTATGACTCAAGAAGTGCACGTCACAGTGTGAGAGAGCGGTGCCGGCTCCGGCGGCTGTGCGAGCTGTGAGCACCCCGGACAGAGGACTGCATCATCCTCTTACTCTTCACCGGACATGTCAGCCTGTCCAGGCGGTGTATATAAGCCGCTTCGGTGGTGATCAGTTGGCCAGCGAGCATTTACCAGCGTCCCTTAGCCACTTAGCACCAAGCCGACCCACTACTATTACCTACCGCCGATCACCATGTCCGCCGAACAGCAGCAGATTCCCGTGGAGCAGGTCTCCGCCGAGGAGGAGCAGCAGCAGTCCTCGCCAGTAGGGACTGCCCCCGTCAAGGCCACCTGCCCCAGCGGAACTGCCTGCAGCAAAGGCCATGCCCAGGCCGCCCCTGCTGCCGACCAGGCGGAAGAGGAGGCCTCTCCTGCTGAGAGCGCCAACTGAACGCCAAGTGCCCCCATCGAAACTACTACTGTGACAAGCTGCACAACTGCGACCTCCGGTCCTAAAATCGAGTCCAACTAGTTGAGCTCACTTTCCAACTCCGTTGAGCTTCAAGCTTTCAACTTCCCTGGCGGAATGCTGTAGTCTTTTCGACTCTTTGGCACTTTTTTTGTATTAATAAAAAAGTTTAATTTATTTTTTCAATTTTTGAATGTCAATTGTAATGTTCAGATTCCATCTTCTCTGTCAATAAATTGCAATTTTTTAAATTCACTTCCAGGTAGTCGGTGGTTTGCCGCATTGAGCTCGTTCAAAGACTAAATGGCTGTGATTGCGCATGGCAGGGCGCAACGGCAGTAGCACTGTTGCGCCTTCCAGCGCTTGATGGCGCCCTAAAAGCCAGTGAAGTACAGTGGATTAGTGAGTGTACTACCGCCAACATGGTGAACGTAACACTCCGCGTTGCTGCTCCTGTGATGTAGCTGTGCAATCTTCAGCGCTGAAGAAGCTGCTCTCAGTCAATTCGGTGACGCATCATCAACTAAATTTATAAATATATCGATGACATACTGTTCAAACTGCTTCCGGTCTGCTGCCGCTGTTTGCCCAGCATGAACGCTGGTGAACGTTCTCAATCAATCAATCAATCAAAATGTATTTTGCAAATTTAGTGCGACAAAAACAAAAGTAAAGAAGTTGTTTGCCAAGTAAAAAATCAGCATTTTTTTGAAAAAAGTACTTTTCATTCAACAGAGGTGGTCGGCCTTAGCAGGTTTAATTACACGCTTCAGTTAACCGTACAGTAGTTAAAAAAGCCACGTGAGT